TTTTTTAAACATATCCGTTCTCAGACAGTCATTACTTTCACTAAATAAGCATCCAACAAGTTTCATTATCAATTGACTAAATTTATATGGGAAACCTACTGTGAGAAAAAAAGAAACTAGAGAAATAATTATTTATAGATTACGGAAAACTTTTTTTTACCTACACATAGAGACTTTCAATAGCGTTAGTATATATGATTATTCTCAACAATTGTGTTGTGAAGTTCTCAACTGTTACTTGATTTGCATTCTTGACTGCACTTCGTTTAAATATAGCATATAACTTTTGAATAGCAAAAGATAATGTTAATATAACAATACAAAACAAATCTCGTCATTTTAATTGACTACTGTTTGTGTTATTTTTTACTACAGGAATAAAATGTAAATGTGTCTGATATCTATTTTCATATGCTGCTAATTCAACAATAACCATAATTATTGATGATGTAACAAGAAATTTTGCATAGTGAAAGAAATCATAAAAGATTCGATAGGTTTCACTTTGAGTATAACAATATGTTTCGCTTTCCACTTATTTAGTAGTGAATAACTGAATAACATGATAATAATGTTAATATTTAAGATTACTCAGTTGACAACAGTGAACATTTCACTAACTAACACGACGACTATCAATACCAGCTAAGATAGAAAACCATGAAGAGAGAACCATAAAATAATAAAACCGTTAAAACTCTAGATATTTTCACTATTGAAACGGATCAATGAAATTAAAACAAGAAAAGTGAACTTATGTATTTTATATTCCAGAATAATTTTCTATGATTTATAACATTATATTATCATTATCACTAATAAAGAATTCCAACTTTTTATCAAAGTATTTTCTTTTCAGTATATCATTACCAATAAGTATATAGAGATATCCATACGGTCAACTTCATACCTTCACTAGAAACATTTAATATTGAATTTATGCCGTAGTTCGATGTACTTCAGATGTTACATTGATACATTTTAAACGCATGAAAATATTATATACATTTCATCTAAATGGTTACATATCCGAAAGAATTCTTTATTTGAAGTTAAGTTCTTTCAAAAAAATATTTCAATATTTCATAATATTACAACAATTATGTTTGAAATTTTCTTTTTTATTATGATACAAGACAACATCAAAATTTACAATACAAAATATAATCATCATGTTATATCTGAGATTTTTCTTTGTTATACGCTCTTTCTATTCTGTTAACTTCAAGCATCATGGTATTCGTTCTGGATCGTCCTGTCGTTGCAATCGTTCGATTCGTCGTTACTGTTTGTCCACCCATGCTCATTTCAACTCGTACATGAAATCGCCGATATATTGAGCTGTTTTTACCAAAGATACAACCAACCATTTTGCTTATTATACAAAGAAATTCTTTTCGATACACACTTCCAGATAAAGTAAATCTATATTTTCAAAAAAATAAACAAAGATATTTCTAGTAGATTATACTAAATAATATATATGTAGATTACTTACACATAGAAGCTTGTACTAGCGTTAATATAGACAAATACTCGCAACAATATTGTTATAAAGCTTTCAATTGCTACTTGAGTTGTACCTTTTACATCATTTTGTGTGAATGTGGAATATAATTTTTGAACAGCAATAGGTAATGTTAATATAATAACACAAATAAATTGTAAACATGTCATTTTGAGTAACTGTCGATCTCGTCTTTTTAATTGGCCAGCATTTGTGTTATTTGTCACTACAGGAACAATATGTGAACGTGTCTGACGAACATTATGGTAGGTTAGTAATCCAAGAATAATCATAATTATGGGTGGTGTAAAACTAAATGTAGCGAAGTAAAAGAAATCATAAAAAAACTCGATAAGGTCCAACTAAAGCATAACAATATGGACCAGTTTTGAGTTGTTGCATCACAAATAAACCAAGAAGATGGGAATATATAGCGAAACCTATGAATGCTGTTATAGCAGATATATAACGTGAATATTTTAGATTGCTGAGTTGACGACGATGCACATCTCTTGAACTAATACAATAACGATCAATACCAGCTAAGATGGTAAACCATGACGAAAGAACCACAGAAGGGTGAACCATGAAATAACGAAATCGACAAAATGCTAGATTATTTGAAACAGGATCAATACCAAAACCATCCGCAAGTGATCGTGGGATGAGACCGAAGAAAAGAACATTTAAATTGGCCAATGACGAGCAGAAAAAATAAGTTGAACATGGATTTTTGATAAGATTTGGACGTATAAAAATGAGAATGTTAAAAATATTTCCAGGAACCCCAAAAATAAATACTACGAGTGGTGCTAATCGACTAAATTGAAGATTAACAGCGTTGATTATAGTTGCAGCAGACATTCTTAATGGATATTTTCTAAAATGAAAAGATAAGAAATGTTGGGGAATGTTGTGAGATATATGTTGAAAAGTGAAAACGTTATATAGTTGACGTCTGTAAATAGAATATGTTTTATACAGTAATTTGTCTTGTAGGAAAATATGACATATAGATGTAGTACAACTATTTCAACTTATAGAGTAATTTGATTTGAGAAATGAAACTACATCAAAAGAAAAAAACGTTGATATTAAGAAAACGCTTAAAACAACTTTGTCTTTAATACTGTTTTATTATAAACTTGAAATAGTTAAATGTCATACAACTATATATATGAAAATAGTATGTTAGCACAAACAAATTTATAGGAATGCTTCTCTTATGGCCACCTACTTTCTTATGATCAAACGCCTTTACGTCAGAAATATTATTCGAATAAGATTAAAATCGTATATAGGGTAAGCTCCAAATAACGCATTACTATTTATTACGTAGTTAGATGTCAGCCAAATGGCGTATGAGAAATGACATGGATTTTGAGAGATAAAACAGTTTTAGTTTTCATCATCAAATGAAAATTAATTGAAATAGCTATGCATTATTTGATTTGAGAAAAAAATAATTCTAAAGTAAGAAGATAAGTATTAGTATTTATCATTAGAGTTAATTTATTAAGAGCTTTACTGTTTCACCGAAATCATAAATTGTATTTTTTAATAATAATAAAAAAGATAAAACAAATTGTATATATCATAGGTGAATAATATGGAATAGAAAAGTAAAAGAAGAATATCTCTAACTAGTGGAATCGAATTGTAAGAAAATAAGATCTAATTACGTTGACAAAATCTCTCAGGAATATCAATGATTTGATATTGAATATTCAAATTTTTTCTTTTCATCATAAACCAGGCCTACTCTTTTCTGCGCAAATCAGATGTCAATCTCAAGTATGTATTAGAATTAAATAATCATAAACAAAATTAAATCATAAGAAAATGAATAAAATGCATTAGAATATTAAAAATAAAACAGAAGAATGATTACTATAAACTACTTTTCATATTTTTGAGTATAAGTCTTATTATTGCTGTTTGTTTCATACTACTTACTGTTTCTGTAGACGAAAGTTGCGATATTACACTGAAAGCCAGTTTGAAATCCAGTGCTCGCTAATAAAGTAATGTCCAATGAATATTTTCTAAACTAATATGACAATGAAACAAAGAGAAGAAGATCTGACAAAGACAAAACATGATATTATAAGTTAACACGAATGATAACATTGAGTAAATAAGTTTTATAGAATCTTATTAATCTATTGAATCTCCAACGTGATGTAGTAATTAACTGTAATTTATTCATATGAAATACTGCTTATCGTAATTGATAATAGTTCATTGAACAAAAAACACAATAGCATAGTTTTTCATACTAATCCAGCTTTCAGATTGTTTTTGAAAACATCTTTGATTTTAAGTTGTATGTAAACCTTTACATAATTGACATAGAGCTGCTTCTTTTTGACGTACGAGCATGTGCTCATCTAATGTAACTGAATATGAAAGAACATAAGCTCGACAACGATCATTTAATACATGCATAATCCTAATTAATTTACTGAATCGATTATGTAAATAAACATAGAAATTATATTCATCGGTTAGACGTTGAAAAGGAGTAAAAAATAATTTGTTATTTGATGTTGTTCTTGATGAAAACTAGAATTAATTTCAAATTCTAACATTCATATTCTTCAGCATATAGCTGTATATATATATATGACCATATTTATTCAAAGTCAAGATGATTTAATAAATAATTACTAAAAGTTACATCCTAATCAAACATCTAATGATGTACAAGGTAATTTATGTTCATATTGCATGCTTCCTACAGTTAAATAATATCATAAAATATTGATCTATTAACAGATACTTGATGTTTATGATTACTTTTTTTTATTATACGATTTTGAATTTCTACTCATTTATGATCATAATTCAATAGATCGAAATCTAACGTATACACGCTCTAAATGAACATGTACTCGATTCATTCCTACTCATCATTAAACTGAATTCAATTCAATATAAACATTAGTAATACGAGCGCAACATCTCATAACTCGATTTCAGCAATTATATGATACTAACTAAAGATCAAGTTGCTTCTCGAATTATTAAATAATCAAGAGTATTGATATTTTATTAAAATATTCACATCTCTTCACCTTCATCCATTGTTATGCAATGTGTAAAATGCTCACATTGTAAAGAGAAGAACCACAAAATCAAGTCTAAAGCATATATTTCAATATTTACTATAGAAAGAACTGTAATATGTCTATTAAGGATTATAATAAATACATCTATGAGCCAAAATAAATATCTGTAATTATGATGCATTTTCGATAGGTTACTAGGGACATCTATAATACTTTAAAAAAAGGATGAGACTTTTTCAATGAAATGTAGTTGTTAAAAAATTAGATTTTATCGATTTGTCGAATACAAATATAAAGAAAATCTACTTTGTCATTATTGATTGACTATTGGTTATTTTCTCTGAAGTCAACCTTAGAAGAAAGAAAGAAAAATTGACAAATGAGTCATTTATCCAATAGGATAGCAAAGAATAGTAGAGAGAATAAATAATAGACAATACAATAAACAAACAATTACTGACAAAAGTGAGGAGAGAAAGAGAGAAAGAGAATCACTATCTAAATATTCAATTCACTTTTGATAGTAATAGTTATTAAAATATATATAATATCCATATGTTTTACTTTTTCTGATCATTTTTATTCTTCAGTTTTTAGATGTTATTGATAAAATATCCAACACGATGAAACAGAACATCAACATATAGTAATTAGTTTTTATTGATTTTTAATTTTCATTTATCATGTAAATTTCAAGGATAAATCAAAACTATCTTCGACAAATATGGATGCATCAGGTCAAATGCGTGGTTGGTTTAAATTGATCGAAACAATTCGTAAAACAGATCCGCCATCAAATGAAATACTTAAAACATCACCGAACAGTACTATAATAAATACAAATGGACACTTACCAAAATCTCCTGAAACAATTCATATGGATAGTTTTCTACCAGAATCACCAGATCTTATTTCCTCTCCTCCTCAAATTACTTTAGCATCAACACCAATACAATCATTCGATGATACACCTGAAATTCATCCTGAACCAACACCGAAATCAACAGGTAGATAAAGAATCATTGAATAGAAAATAAATATTTCTAGCAAAATAACGAATAGAGTTGTACTTTAGTATACGTTCAAGTGAATATAATTCTCTATGGTGTGCGCATTGTCATTCTATTCTAGTTATAACCTAACAATCATAAAATTAACTAAGATAGTATTGTTTTGGAAACATTTATCTCTTTCGAATTACGATATCACTAAACATTTATATATCCTTTTTCAACCTTTATGATAAAAACCAAAAGTTTTATATTGATAAAAAAATATCATAAACAGTGGGTTAAAGGTTATATGTAATGTCTTTTACAATGTAGACTATTTACTTATGAATGTCCCTGACAGCAAGAAGAATACGATTTATATGAATATCTTATTTAAACGAGTATATATGATACTTTATACATATTTTGACTCTGACTTTCTGGTTATAATATATATTAATTTGATACAACCTTCAAGATCTGATAGTCAAAACAGTAATTGATCGTTTTAATCTGTATACATGATTCGCGAAAGCTGTAGGAATAGACATACATCAAAAGAGAAATCTAGCTTATATCATATTTCTTAGACAAAAACACTAAATACATTATATTTTTGTCGTTTGTCCTATTCAATGATCTTTGCTCTATTGTATTAATTATCGACTTTTTTTTATTCAGCTTCAAAACGTTCATCAACTCGTCATAAAAAGATAACAATTCGTAAATCAACTAGATCTAAAGAATTCTCTTCAATTACTAATACATCCGATGATTCTATTATACATCAACGAACACGACAATCTGCTGATACATCATTAAATATTTCGATTATTCCATTGGCAACTGATCTTCAATCTTTACCTGGACATATTCAAAATGAATTACGTGATCAACGTTTTGTTGATTATTCTGATATTGATACATTATCGATGCATTTAAATACATGTTTATATATTGATAAAAAATCTTTTTCATTATCATCGTTAACTAGACAACATATATTTAAAACACGTCATAATATATTAAATAAAATCTTTAAATTAGATCATATGAAAGCTTCACAAAAAACTTCTTCGAAGAAAAATGAAGAAACACTAAACGGAAATAATTCATCATCATCAATGTCATTTAAAACCGATTGGTCAGTTAATCGTCGTAGTTCATCATCACATCGACATGAACCAAAAAATATTTTTCATATTCTACAATTAAATCCGACAAAACAAATATTTTTAACAACAAATAAAGATTTTAGAAAAAATTTAACAATTGAAGAACAACAAAATATTCATTATGAACAAATGAAAAGTCTTTTAATACGGACATATTATCCACATTTTCATACAGCTATTCAACGTGGTCAATATTTTGGTTCAAAATCAAATATTTTAGTAAAACATCATGATGTACCAATTATTATTAATCCACAATCACCTACAGATATTGATGAAACAATGACAATTAAACTTAATTCACCATTACCTATTCCTCAACAAGAATCACGAAGACGTGGACGGAAACGAAAACATAAGAAAGAGAAAGAGAAAGATAAACCATTACCATTAGCATTTACACAACGTCGTGTAAGTGAAGAAATTCCACCAGTTGTTATTTTAAAATCACCACCACTACCGCCACCGCCATCAATAGAAAAAGAAGTGGATGATAATATGAATAATCGAAAACGTAAAACATCAATGACAATGAATTTAAATATAAGTGAAACAAAGAAAAAGAAGAAAATTATACAACCATTATCACCAGAAATTCTTATCAATGACTATCAAGATGTTTCATA